CCGGACCCCGGGCGGGTCAGGCCTCTAGGGGCCTGCCCACCTTTCCCTGGCGTCGGGCGGCTTGTCGCCTTGCGACGCCGTCTTTCCGCGGGTCCGCGGTGGCGCGTGGGGGGTTGCGGTGGGGGGGACCCGTTTCTGCCAGAGCTGGGACCTTGCCTCCTGCAGAGCCCTTTTCAGCACCACACTCATATCGTTTCCGTCTAGTCTCGACATGGCGGAACCTCTGACTGCAGGCCAGCTGTTGCGACACGCCGTCTTCGATGATGACGAAGAGCCACAGGGGGAGGCCATCGGCATCGTGCGCCGTGCAGGCACACCAACGGCTCGTGGACGGTTGGCAGAGGTCGAGTATCTATCATTCTCGGATCCGTACTATGCTTGGTGGTATCGCGCGGTGGCGCATAAGTCGGTGAGCACTCATTTCTGCAGTGGTAGTCGAGATCATTGTACTTGGAACCGCAAGTATGATGGACACATCTGTCTGCACGTTGATAAGCATAAGGTGCTGACCCCCATCGATGTTCAGAAGCTCCATGCCCAGTGGAGCGCGGCCAACCCTGAGTTACCTGGCCTACCTGGCGAAGTGAAGGACATGATTCAGCGTGCGGAGGAGCTCGTCGCGGCCGCCGACTACGACGAGGGGGAGCCGAAACCCAAGGCTAAGGCGAAAGCCAAGGGCAAGGCTATGGCTGCTCCACCAGCCGACGACGACAAGGCGGAGGACGAGGCTCCCGAGGAGGCTGTGGAGGAGCTTGAGAAGGAGCTCCGTGCCCTCGCTAAGGATGCAGGCCAGCTCACGGGCGAGAGTAAAAAGGAGTTCTTACGGTCTAGATTGGAAGCCCTCAAGCGGAAGGCTGATGGTAAGAACAGTTCGGGCCCGAGCAAGAAGTCGAAGCTCGAAGACGTCATCGCCGACCGCGTTGCAGGTAAGGGGGCATCGGGCAGCAAGGCCTCTAGCAGCAAGAAGGCCAAGAAGGACGATGACAGCGACGACGACGACGAGCCTGCCAAGACTAAGGACCGCTCCGCGCTGAAGGCGCTCGTCGGGCTGCTGAAGGGCGCGGGCAAGGACTCCGACTCGGACGACGACGACGGCGAGCTGGACGGGGAGGTCACCACCTCGAAGCTCGTGGGCAGACGGCTCGCGTTCAAGAAGATGGCCAGGAAGCATCCTGGTCGCATCACAGAGCGCGAGATCAAGAATATGCTGACCCTGTTGGACGAGGGGGAGCTCGAGTTGGAGGACAAGAGCCTGCCCCCAGTGTGCATGCGTTTCTTCCTGCGGGTGTTCAAGCCCGAGCATCCGCCGAAGGAGGTCGGGGTCGATAATTTTTGTGAGATGAGAACGTTAGCAGAAACCATGGGTTTGATGTTGAAAGGGAAGCCCGCGCATGCCTTGGACTACCTCATGAGAAGGTTCCGCGCGAATCAGAAGGATCTCAAGGACGGCCATTCCCGTGTATCTCGTTGGTTGGAGCTGATACCTCCTGAGGCGCGTGGTTTCAGCTTGAACGAGGACGACGAGGAGATGGCCGTCGGCGTCGAGGCAGCTCAGCAGAAAATGCTCGCTCTTGGCGAGCGTGCCCGGGTTGCGCGCTAGGATGTTGGCCGGGGGGGTGCTGTCGGCAATGCTCACTCCTCCAGCGGCCAGTGCCGCGGCGGCAGCCCGGGGCGCGAGTTGATCTTGACTGATGTCGGCGCGGCTGTGGACGCCCGCCGCCTTCGCGACTCCTTACCTCTACGAGATACTGCACGCTCTGGCTCTCCTGCAGGGCGAGAACTTCCAGGGCGAGGCGCCGCCCCTGGTGCCCAGTTGGCTCTGTGCGATCATACGCCGGGGGGTGCTTGGGCCCTGGTGGGGGACCGTTCACCTCGCAGCAATTCTGTGGACGGAATGCCGCTCTCATCGAGGGCCTCGTTGAAGGCCAAGTTCCCGAAGAAGCAGGGCGAGTCGGGGCGACAGCGCAAGCTAAGGATCCAGAAGATGCTCTGGGGGTCGCGCAAGGAGCCCTCGGACAAGAAGAAGGGGTCAGGCCAGGGTGGTCAGGCACGCCGCGAGGTCGTGCTGCGCTAATCCCCTTCGAGGGGGTCAGCGACTGGAGAGATTGGTTGGCCATCTCCGTGCGCCGCCGGGACATCTCCAGCAGGGGCCTGCTCGAACATGGGTTCCTGACTTATGACAGTATTGGACGTTCGCCGACGAGGATTGGAAAGTTCTAGAGAGAATTTCATAGACACTCACTGCCACAAGGCGGAGGTGCATCAGCTCGGGATGTTCTACCCATGCCGGTGCCGATACCTCTGCGTGCTCTTGAATGGCGCCAGCAGGCGGCCCGCAAGGGGCTTTGGAGTGATGCTGGCACGTTGAATAGGATGCAAATTACACCGCGGACGAAGTCAACAAGATGCACTCGAAGAGGTATGGCTCTATCTTGTCATCATGGGCCTCAATTTCCACCACCTCGGGCACCTGGGCGAGGCGGCGAGGAGAGGTGGGGGCGCTGCGCCGTGGAGTCAGCGGCGCAGGCAGCGAGCAGAGCTACTCTCCGCGAGACGGTGCGTTGTTTCATCGGGGACAAGCTGGAGATGCACAGATATCCCGATTGGAAGGGGGAGGTGCTCGACCCGCACTCCAACTGCAACAGTGACGAGGACTGCAGGGCTCTGCTGCTGAAGCTTCACGAGCTTCTGCCAGGCTTCCCGAAGCCAGAGCGCGTGGGCAAGCTGCAGGCCCGCGACTTCGTCGAGCCATGGGTGCGAGATTTCCTGGATGATCCCCGCAAGGCCCTACTCCCTGTTGAACAGTGGCCTGCCGCCGTCCCCGGGGCGCGGGTCACGGCGGACACTGGGGAGGATTGGTGGCAGGTCGCGAAGGAGCTCGTGAGGCTTGGCTTGTGCGATCCGATCGAGTGCGACGAGATCTTCGAGCGCAACGGGCAGAAGGTGTTGAACGGTTTTTCGCTGTTCGCAAGAAGGGAACGCCGATGCCTGGCGAGTCCCGCGTCCCGACTTATCTTTAACATGATTCCCGCCAACGGCTTCGCGAAGGAGATGGGGCACGACGTGGCGACCCTCGTGCCGTCGCCGCACTGGGCCTCGATCGGGCTCGAGGATGACGAGGTTATGTTGTGGGGCGGAGACGACCAGAAAGGGGGCCTTTTTTCATGTGGAACTTGCCCAGGAGTTGGCGGGCTTTCATGGCCGCAGGACGCCCTGTCCCAGGTGAGGTGCTTGGGCTGGGACAGAAGCGTGTCTACCTGGCGACGGCTGTTCTTCCCATGGGATGGGTGCTGTCGGTATTGATATTTCATCATGTTCACCGACGTTTGGGCCTCTTGCCGGCTCCACATGGGGCCTTACTTCCTGGCGATCGTGAGTGGCGTCGTGACCGGCCCGTGCCCATGCCTGCCGTGCTTGCTGGCCCCGCGGCTGGTAGCCGCGAGTGGTGGCAGGCATGCGTAGACGACTTCGACGGTGTGGAGGTTGTCCCCGGAGCCATAGCCGCAGTCAGCCAGGGGGCGGTTGGGCATTTCCAGCATATGATGAGAGAAAGTTATCGCAGGAACGGTGTTGAGATCGCGGAGGACAAGGCCAACTGTCGACGCTTGCGGGTCACTCGCATGGGCGTCGAGCTGGATGGCGTCGTTGGGAGGCTTGCCAATGCCAGGGGGCGAAACCTGGAACTGCTGTCTCTCACTCTGTTCCTGCTCAGCCTGCCTCGACTTCGGGGGGGCGGGCTCCTGGTGCTGCTTGGGCGCTGGGTTCGAGCCCGGGAGTTCAGAAGGCCTCTTTTCAGCATATTCAATGGCGTGTGGGAGCGACTGGCGCATGACAAGTGGATCATCAACGCGGAGATGGCCTCCGAGTTGCTGCGCGCGCTGGTCATGCTCCCCCTGGCCAGCGCCAACCTCCGTGCCCAGACGAGTGGCGTCGTCACCTGCTCCGACGCCAGTGAGAGCGCAGGTGGGGCCTGCGTGAGCGTGGACTTGAGCGCTGGGGGCCTGGCCACCGTCATGGGCCTCACGAGCGGGGGCTACCTGCCGTCGCGTGACTGGTCTATGCGCTTGGCCGCCCTCAACGGTCGCATCGAGGTTGACACTCACAGCTCTCGGCTGCGAGCAGGTCGAGGGGGCGCGCCGCGCGTTTTCCTGATCGGCGTCTTTGACGGGGTCGGCTGCGCTGCAGTGGCCCCCAGCCGTTTGGGCTGCACCATTGCGGGCTACGCCAGCAGCGAGATTGACAAGAATGCCAAGCGCACAGTGTGCTCCAGGTGGCAAGGCGTGATCGAGCTTGTAACCAGTCTTGCTTCACATTACAACGATAATGTTGATTTTGTGCTACTGATAGGGGGCAGTCCCTGTCGGGACCTTGCTGGAGTTAATGCTGGGCGCTCAGGTCTGAGCGGAGCAAAGAGTCGGCTATTCTATCACTTTCCTCGGATATCCGGTCTCGTCAAGCGCCAGTTCGTTTGCCGGGGGCACTGGCTCTCCGAGAACGTCGCGAGCATGATCTTCGAGGACGCCAAGAGGTTCAATGAGGCCCTCGGAGTGGCCCCCCATCGAGGTTTGCAACAGCCTCTTCACCGAGAATCGTCGCAACGGACTATACTGATGCTCTTGGGATGTCACGGCCTTGGACGGGGCCCTCATTGTCGAGGGTGACCGAGGACGAGCAGTGCGATATATCCGACTACAGCGACTAGAGCGAGCGGAATGGATAAGCCCAGGAGCTTATCGTCTGGACGACTCTAAGCCCCTTAGCACGTTCGTTCAGAAGGTCCCTAGGAGCGAGCCGAGGTATAAGCCGGCGGGTATCCGCGAGGCGAGCGAGGAGGCCCTACGACGGTGGGCCTCGGACATGTATTCGTGCCCCCCCCCCCCCCCCCCTACCAGTGCAACGACCGTGACTGCGTCGTGGAGGGGGGAAGGGCTCGTTTGGCTACCTCGATGGAGCGAGAGGTCCGATTGGGGCCCCCACGGCGCTACACCTCGGCCGTCGCCATGTCGGGCTCGAACCAGCAGGCGGTGGAGGCCCTTCGGTGCTCACTCTTGGGCGACGCTTTCGCCGTCGCCCCACTCGGCTGGCTTCTTCGGAATCTGTTTGTGGCGTCGAGGTGCGCCGCTGGGCGCTATTCTGGAGAGGAGCTCGCACGGCCGCTCAAGTGCAAAGACCTGCTCGACGAGAGCGTTGAGTTCGCGAAGGAGCCAGTCCAAGAGCGATCTGAGAGCCGCGTGCTGATCCAACTGTTTCAGAGCGTTGGCGGGAGAGGAGGATCCGACGTTCGCCTTGACGTCGGAGTCCCTTTCAGGCCGAAGGCCTGGCCTCGCGCCAGTATTGATCCATCGCTCTGGAAGTGGAATATCATCCTCAGTTATCCCTGGGGGCCGAGTGCCTTGGGCAGTCGCATCAACGCTCTGGAGTTGCGTGCAGCGACGGCTACAGTACGTTGGAGGACGAGGTCGGCAAGCTTTCGGTGTGTTCGCTTCTTGCACCTCGTGGATTCGCAGGTGGTGGCAGCTATCCTGATACGAGGGCGCACTATATCACATAAGAGGAGAAAACTCGCAAAGCAGTACTGCGCCACCCTGCTGGCCTCTGACCTGTGCCCGCTGATCGGCTACGTAAACGCCAAGCTGAACCCTGCAGACCACCCTTCGCGTTCTACCTTGGCTAAGAAAGCCCCGTCGAAGTCGCGGGGAAAGGGTCTAGGAAGCCTGCGTTGACATGGGTGCGAAGACCTGCGTACCTCGCTCAGCAGCACAGTAGACGGCATCTCAAGCTGCGAGACCTGCAGATCACCGCGGAGACGAGGCAAATCTATATATATATATATATGAATGCTGTCCGCCGTTTTCTTCACTGGGTTAAGCAGACGCGGAGGTCGATGCCCTGCGACTCCGTGGACCAGGTGCTCGCTGACTTCGTGGAGTGCTGCTGGGCGGAGCTAGAGCCGTGCTACGTTCCCGTGAACGCAGCTGCAGGACTTCAGTGGTTTCTTCCTTCACTCAAAGGATCCTTGGACCAGTCCTGGAGTTTGATCCGGGCGTGGGGGCGTCAGGTTCCACCGTCGAGAGCTACGCCATTTACTGCTCAGTTGAGCCTTGCCGTGGCGTATTGCGCCTGGCATGTGGGCTGGTCAGCCTTTGCTGCGCTAGTGCTGGTGGAATTCGATACCTTCGTGAGAAGTGGTGGGTTGATCGCAATGAAGCGCAGGGGCGTTCTGTTTCTGAAAGATAAGGCGGTCATATCCAGGCCTGAGCGAGGCAGTTGTCTTGAAGGATGGCGTCGGCAGGAAGATTCTTGCTCGCGCTTGCAAATCTCTTGATCCTGATGACCTCGTCTTTGGGCTGACTGGAGGTCAAACTCGGTCGAAGCTGAATGCCATCTTGCAGACCCTGGGGTTGCAAGGGCGAGGGTTCTCGCTCTATAGCTTGCGGCGTGGCGGGGCGACCGCCCAATTTTCACGCGTTCCGGGTCCATGGAGAGCACGCTGTGAAAAGGAAGGTGGTCAGCCTCTCGGACTGCGCGTTTATATGTATCTCCCAGGGTACTGCCGACCTTGTTGCATTGTCTATGTCCAGAGAGCAGGAGCAGCATGTGAGAACTGCTGCCGCGCCCTGGGTTCCAATAGTTCAGAAGCTTCGCTTGAGCACTTGAGTTTTAGAGTCGGATTTACCAGGATAGGGCAACTTGGAAGGCCTGGGGGGGAGTCCTTTTTTTGAATTTGGGCGAGGCCTAGCTGCTATGGATTTGCCATGGCTTAGCCGGGGCAGGGTGCAATTCAAACGATCACGATCCATCGATATCATCGAAACATCGTCCTCTCTTGCTTTCCCTGCGCCTCGCCTCGGCTTGGACTCTGTGTTTCCCCCCAGGTGGTCTCGCGAGAAGACCGCAAAGCAGTGGCGGCAGTGAGGGAAAACCATCGTAGCGTTCATATATATATATATATATATATATATATGTACATGTGTATATATATACACATATTCATATACATATACATATACAGCTACATACATACATATGTATGTATATATATGTATGCCCCTCTGCCCCATCGGAAGAGGACGAGGAGAAGCCTTTTGGAACTTTCTATTCTGCCAGAGGGGCCGGGCTACACCCAACGACGAGACGCCACCCCGAGACTGGGCACAAACGCCCCCGGCTCGATACGACGCCCCGCCGATACCTGTTTCGCTACGTCCACCCGACTGGCTTTCTCTTCAGTCCGGCGGCCGTTACGCCACCTGGCCGCAGGCGCTCCGCCGACGCGGCGGGCCTGCCTCACCCTTGAAGGCGCCCGAATGGAGGCATTCGGGTACCGACGACCTGGAGCCCATCATGCTCACCAAGTTCATCGGCACCTTCACGCACTTGGCACTGTTCTCGACAATACGCCGCCAACCGCGAAAAAAGTCACGGAGCGTGCTCCTCCGCTTGAACTCAAGGATTTTCATCGCTGACTCCTGCTTCATGACCTGCGCGCGCTCCCGACGG